TGACACCCAGGCCCTGCACTGTGACCCAGCTGAAAGGGCAACTCCCCTGCCTTGCTCCTTGGGGCAGCAGCAATAGCAGCAGCAGCAGTAGTGAGTGAACTCACCACAAAGTTAGGGTTTGGCAGCTGCACATGAGGCTGGTTGGCTCCCATGGCAACCAAGGAAGTGCAGGCCTTTGCTTCTGCACTGCACACATTCATTGGCACTGCCTGGGCAATTTCCCTTGGCAGCAGGAGAACAATCCCGTTCCCCAGGCCCACCTCCCACGCTCTCAAAAATCTCTTGATAAAAGTGGTTCACCGCCACCTCTGTCCTGGCACAATGGGTCTGTGCACCCCCAAGCCCCAGTGGCCTTCCCGAAGGGATGCTGAACCAGAGGTGGGGAAAGCAAATAGGGATGCCTGAGGTCTGTGGTGACTGACCCTGACTCCAGGAGAAGGGAAAGCCAGGAGATGGCAGGCAGGCTACTGAGCATGAGATGCACTAGCAGTTGGCTCCAGCAGCTCAGAGCTGGAGCACAGGATGGAAGCAGGAGTCTCCCTGGGGTCTCTCTCTCAGTTCAGTTCTGTCTCCACTGCTGCTCGTTAGACCCCAGAATGTTCTTGTGCATGAGTGGGAGGCCACCCCACCCCAGCCCTGGGGCTTGGGCTCCTGCAGGCCAGGAAAGCCGTTGCTCTTCAGCAGTATTGGATCCGGTCAGGTAGCAGCACTGGATCCTCACCAGGGCCTCAGAGCTGGTGGCAGGGTTGCTACGGCAGCTCAGGAAGCTTGGGGCCTATAAGATGGAGTTTCCCACCCATTTTCAATACTCGATGCCGGTGTTTCTGTCCAGCTGGTGTTGCCGCTGCAGGAGGCTGCTCAGTGGTAATGGACCTGTTCCTCCAGTACAGGCCCAGTTCTGAATTCACCCTCCACAGTCTCCAGCTCTGTCTCAAAGCTCTGTGGACCGCCCTCCTCGCTGTTCTCCACTGGCTCCAGCCGGTTGCCCATTGTGCCATAGGACTGGTGAGCTGGGGAGGCCGCTGGTGTGAGGCTCAGCTCTGGCTCTTGCAGCACTGTGGCCACGAACATCTGGGGCACAAAGCAGACAAGGGGCTAGCAGCGAGGTGGACATGCTGTGCGCTTGGGCTGGGAAAGAGACCCCTCCACACACACTCAGAATCCAGGCTGGCTGAAAGCCGGGGTTTGATTGGCAGTGAGGCTGGGGCATCTGAGCGTGTTACCTTCCATCCACAAGAGCTGCGCCCCAGGCGATGAGAGGCCGTGCCGGGGTGGAGGCACGTCTGGGGAGCTGTAGGAGCCTCAGGGCAGGGCATTCGTGGTTTGTTGTGTTAGAGTGTTATTCACTGCACAAAGCTGACTCCCACAGCGAGGCGACTTGGGCGTGAGGGGCTGGGGAGTGGAAATACTCACATTTGAGTTGGGGGTTGAGGAGATGCTGCTTCTTTCTGTGTCGTTGAAGGCCCCTTCTGACTGCTCAGACATCTGTGACAGGCGGGGGGAGAATATGCAGCAGTCAGGGAAAGAAGGAGCAGTCGTGGGGGCAAACCCCAGGACCACATTCTGCTGCAGCACTTGGAGATGATGGAGAGGGAGGGACCATGGTTGCGGCCACTGACGTTGCCTAGCTGCCAGCTAGGATTCACTCAACTGACCAGAGTCCCTGCTCAGAGGCAGCCCCACGACGGTTGATTTTACAGCTGCAGTTCTGGGTTATCGGTGGCCATGAGGCAGGAGACTAGGGTTTGCTGGGAAGTGACTTGCACCTACCAGCACAATGGAGCTCAGTGCAGGGTCCCCCATTGCTGCCTATGGTGGGACCCAGAGCCTGTCTAGCTAGGCCACTGCAACTGCACCACCAGGGCGCACGCACGCACACACAAAGCTGGTGATGGTGAATAGCCAAGGGAGATGCTCCCTGAAGATCCAGGGGAGTCAGTCCTGGGTCTGCGCCAGGTGCAACTAAATCCTCAAGCACCTCCGTGAATATTTAACCCTGAGAGGCAAGACCCAAACTGAACTGAACTGAACTAACAGGGACAAAGCGATGCTGAGTCAGGTCCTGAGAACAAAGGAGCTGCTTCCGTCTCTCACCTGGTAGCTGGAGGGCTTCCTTGGCTGCAGCTTCTTCAGACACAGGCCAAAGAAAGAGAAGAGGATGCAGGATAGAAGAACCACGAAGGTAAAGAGGGTGATGGGGCGGACGGGACCTAGAACAGAGAAAAACAACCAGGCAGCACTGAAGTCTGCATTGGAGTCCACCAGCTCCATTTCCTACCAGCCACAAGAACTTCTGAGGGCCAGCCAAGCTCTCCCCCTCAGCTGGCCAAGCCCTCCCCCCACACGGTGAGTTCAGTTGAGATCTCCCCAACATAACCCTTTCCCCATTTCCTTTCTCCCTGTTTCCCCACCCCCCTCCTCCTGTTCCTGACAAGGAGAGGGTCACTATCTAGCGGCTTGTCCCTTAGTGAAGTGAGCCCTGATGCAGATAAGGTCTAGGCCAGGGGAGTTCTAGCCCTGAGGCCACCCTACCTAGGCGCAGGACAGAGAAGAAGAGCAGCCAAAACATGCAGAGGATGGGTGCCACCACCACCTGGCTGACGGCCGCCGAATGGATGCGCTGGTTCAACTTGGTGGGGATGTACACGTAGTAAATGTTGTAGCGATCGACCATGTGCTTCAGCAGCATGTAGAGCAAACCTGAGCCAGGAGGATGAGAGGGTCAGCACAGGTGCCTCCACTGGACAAAGCTGGGGGAGGGGGAGGAGAGCGAGGAGAGAGCACCATGGCTAAGAGAGGAGATGAGGGCCTGGGGAGAACAGTCCATAAAATCAATGCCAATGGTGACATTTTGGACCAAGGGATTCGGCAGCTGATCCCTGCTCAACTCTGTACCCTGGGCTGGTTCCCCAGGCCAGGCCAATGGGCACAGACAGAGCTGCCTTCTGATGATCATCTCACCTCCCGAAGAGACAAACACACTCCCTTGGGGAACATGGGTGTGGGTGAGGCGGCTTCCAGTGCTGGGGTTGGGTCCAGAGAAGAAGGTGAGGGGGCCAGGCTGGGAGCACACAGGCCTGGCACAGACACTCACCAAAGGGGACAATGATGGGGCAGGTGATGCTGTAAGTCATGACGACAGCAAAGATGCAGCAGGTCCAGGCGTACTCCAGCCCGAACTGGAACTCATAGGCTTGGCTCTAAGGTGCAAACAACAGCAAAGTTACCTTGGTGCCTCCAGACTAGTGTTTCTGTGTGACAGCATCAGCTGGAGACTTCAGCTGAGACTGGGGCACCTTGTGCCGGGTGCTGTACAAATGCACAGTGGAGACAGCCCCTCTCCCAGCGAGCTCGCACTCAAGATGGACAGATGCAAGGCAGAGAAAGGACGTATTGTCACCACACCACAGAAGGGGAACTGAGGCAATGAGAGATGACAGGCTTTGTCCCAGTTCAGCCAGGGAGCCTGTGGCAAACCAGGAACTGACCCTGGCTCTCCCACCCCATAGCCTTCTCCGCATCCCCACACTTCCCCACATCTCTTCCAGGGCCTGGCAGCAACTCCCAGTCCATTATGCTTCCCTTTTTCCTTTATAATCCACCCAGTTAACACAGCAAAGCCATTGCCCACTGACCATGGAGAGGATTCTCCTTCAGAGCTCGGTGCTGCTGCGTCTCACATAGACGACAGTGTCGCCACAGAGTGACAGGAGGTACCCTGCTGCCTTCCTGCCCGCCCCAGAGGGACTGGAACTAAATCCAACCCCCTGCAGCAGCCTCCAGCCCCAGCTTCCTGGGTCTAAGAAGTTGAGTTTCTGGCCAGGACACTGGTGATGGGATCTGGCGGGTCTGTGTCCCTGGGAGGGGTGTGGGTGTGGATGTGCAGGGAGTGGAGCCACGTACCCGCTTGATGTGGAGCCGCTCTGGCTCAGACTTGGCAAAGAAGAGGCGGGCTGCGTAGACGATGAGGTTGGGGATGCGCAGCAGCTCCATGGCCGTCCCAATCAGGCTGGATGTGATGACGTAGTTGACAAAGAAAGCGCCGTTATCCGGAAGGAAAACGCACCTGCTCCCAGAAACAAGAAGGAGGGAAGAGAATGAGACGTGCCCCCGGCAGATGGCCGAAGAAGAGCTGTGCCAGGCTCATGCCTGAAGCACTCCAAGCTGCTGCCCAGCGTGCAGGGGGTACAGCTGCACGACTGCTAGGTCCAGAAGCTTAGAGCCCCGTCTGCTCAGGGGATTGCTCAGAAATGGAGGCCAAAGCATGGGGCGTCCCAAAACAGTGCAACCAACACACAGAAAGGGCACAGTGCAATTCTCCTGCCCCTCTACACACCCAGCTATGCATGCAGCTCCCCCTAGCTCCAGCGTGTACATCCCAGCACAAACAGGGCTCCACACCGCTCAGGCCTGCTGGTACTCACTGGAACTTGATATTTGCCTCATCCAGGAAGTGAATGTCAAAAAGCCAGTGGAAGAAAAGATCTAAACTGGATGAGAGAAGGGAGAAGAGGTGCTGGTTAGACGTGTGTGACACAGACAGGAGTCTCTCTCGCACACTCACAGCGAGCAGGAAATAGAGGTGCTGGTTAGACGTGTGTGACACAGACACACTCACAGCGAGCAGGAAAATCCTTGTACCGCACCTCTACCCTGCCCATCGCTGGGACTATGTCTAGACTACATCGATCTATCAGAAAAAGGTATGCAAATTGTGGAGTGCAATTTGCGTACTTTTTTCCAATAGTTTTTTCAGAAGAGGCTTTTCCAAAATTTGGCCTGTCTACACTGGGCCAAATTTCGGAAAAGCCTCCTCTTTTGGAAGAGCCCTTCTTCCTCGTGGTCTGCTCTTCGGCAAAAAAAAGCAGAAGAGCAGACGCGTTCCCTGGGTGTGGCAGAGTTTTTCCGGGATACCTCTGGTATCCCGGAAAACCCTGGTAGTGCAGACATAGCCTAAGCTTCCCTTTGGCACAGGGCCTGCCCTGGGGGTGGAAGCATGTTGTGCTTTGGCATTGTGCACATAGCAACAATACAGATCCTAATCAAGGCCGGTCTGTGAAGGAACAGCTGGTGCACATGGTGTGGATTCTGGCAAACCCTGGGGTGGCACTTAACGGAAGGACTTGGTTACAAGACCTGGGAGGGACTCCACACAAAAAAGGTCAAACCTATGAAGGAGCCTAGTCAAAAGCTGACAGGAGTGGTTGCTGCTTCTGCACCACACTCTCGTCTTGATGCTTTGGTCCCTTTGAACATCTCTGGCTGCACAAGGCATCTCTAGCTGCGGGGCCTATGCCCCAGCACAGTCAGAGTCCCTAGACAGCAGAAAGCTGTCAGCATCTGGGCTCTGACAGAAGGATCTCTGGGCTCTGACCAGACCCGGCTGTTAGGACAACCCTTTGCAGATGATTAAAACCACCTTTGTCCCCAGCCCAGACCCGGCTGTTAGGACAACCCTTTGCCCCCAGCCTAGGATCCTGAACTGGGCACAGCTTGAGGAGAGCTGAGAACAAGGTTCCTATGCACACCTGGCTAAGGAGTCCCTTGCAGATCAGCTGGACAAGAGGAGCTAATACCAAGGGTCATTTGATCTAGCTCATACTCAGGGAGGAGAGGGGCTGGACAGTGGAGGTCCTTGGGCTGAGAGGGTCATCCGGGGAGAGTTTGGGGACAGGAAGGTCCCAGGAACAGACAATTCCCATGCTGAGAGAAAAGAAGTGAGTGCTTTCTGGCTAACAGGCGGGAGAGCTGAGCCTCAGCTGGCGTCACTGCAAGCAGCTGTGCTGCTTTTGCCATTTCTGTCTGATGCACTGTCAATCAATTAGACCAGGCAGTTCCCTCGAGGGAGATGCTTCCTTCTCTCTCAAAAACAAACTGGCCCACTAAACCTATAGGCCAGGCCAAGGAGCAACTACACAGAGAATGGCGAACAAGCAGCTATTGATTTGCAAGATCCTGTTTGAGGGGGTGCTGGGCTGGGGCAGTCCTCCAGAGGAGCCCCAACACTGATGCCCCCTGGAATAGGCAGGGTTATTAAAGACACTCCTGCGCATTGCCCAAGAGTCAGGGAGCTCATCTTGGCATCCTGGTCAGTTTCCACCTGGGCAATTCTGTGCTTCCTATCTAATTTCCTGTTATGTCTCAACCAGGATACACTATACTTCCCTTGCTGCCTTAACTGGTGGATAGAACTGTTTAGTGCTTAGAGCAGCTGGGTTCCCTTCCAGAGACAGCTGCATTTCAGTGGTGGATGAAATGATCCTGACACACACAGGGTGTGTCTAGACTACTGAGTTTTTTTCGAAAAAAGTGACCTTTTTTTCGAAAAAACTTCACCTGGCTGTCACGTTCTTCTGAAATTAAATCAAAAGAATGTGGCGTTTTTTTCAACATTGGTAAACCTACTTTTACCAGGAAGAACGCCTTTTTTTCAAAAGAGCTCTTTCAAAAAAGGCATTAAAGAGTGTGTCCAGATTGCCTGGGTGCTCTTTTTCAAAAATGTGGATTGCTTTTTCAAAACCCTTGTGGCTGTCTATACGATCTCTTTCGAAAGAGGCTTATAGTCTAGACGTACCCATCGTTGCTGTAAAATACTTTGGGATTGATCCGTCAGGATGAAGAGCTCCAGGGACATATTTGTAATTCCCACTCTACAGGAGTATACACATGGACTGTACCTGGTCAGCCCCAGTGAGGGGAGGATGATCACCATGAACACCAAGAAGAAGTAACACTTATGCATCGTGACCTGATTTTCATTCGACCTACAGAGAAAGGAAAAGATCTTTATACATTTTGGAGGCAGAAGAGAAACTGGAAGGAGAGATGCCCTACCGGAGCGGTCAACAAAGGCTTCCCTTGTCGACCGCACCGTGTCTAGACTGCCGCGCTGTGCCGGATCAGCTGATCGTCGGCACAGCACAGTGGCCATTTTTATTTTAATGAAGCAGGGATTATTTAAATCCCTGCTTCTTTGACTATGCAGAATAAACTATTTTACATGGCTCCATCGACAGAGCCATGTAGTCTAGACATAGCCTGACTGAGGAAGGTGCCCCGGCATGGGAGCAGGGTCTGGTGATGCCATCTGGGGAGCTCCCTGCCCTTCCAATCCTACTTTCTCTCTCTCTCTAAATCTCACTACTTCCCACTGTAGCATTTGCAGCTGGAAAACTGACTGTAGCTCGCAAGCAGCAACTGCCAGCTTTACTACTCACCCACGAATCACGGCTGGATTGCCAGCTCAAAACATTCAGTGCTGGAGCCTGGAGGCTCACATGCTGTGCCGGGGGACGGGATATGGCCCTTGCAGGGGATGCCCATGGGAGGACCATGGCTGGGGGACACTGGCTGGCTTGGGCCACCTGCAGGGGGTACTGTTAGCGGGGTATTGTGAATAGAGCAGAGAGGAATACAGCTGGACAGCCACAGTGGGACTGCTGATTACAGCCATGGGGAGGCATTAGTGGAGCCCAGGGGCAGGTTTAACGCAGATAAAGGGAGAAGAGAGGGGACTCCATTGGCTAACTAAAGGGGGTTCATCGGGGGGCAGCTTTGAGAACCCCTCTGTTAGCAGGTCATTTTTAAAAAGGAAGATGCCTGCACCTCCATCCACGGAGGCATGGAAACAACTGTGCAGGGGCCCATTCAGCTTCACTTGTTCTACAGCTTTGGAAATTCAGGACCTGTCTGCACCATAACTGAGTGCCCTCGAGTGGAGTGAAGCACTTGTGTGTGCAGATGCCAGGGGGCTGCTGAGGCAGCCCCTAGCACAGTAACATGGCAGCGCAGACAAGGGCAGAGGGAGCGATCTCTCAGGGCATGGAACTGCCTCCTCAGGGATTGGCTGGTGGCCTGTTTTGCCTAGACTGGACAGTAGCCTGGGGACTGTAGGGACCAAGACCAGCCTGATGCCTGGAGATGGACTAGAGCAGTGTTTCTCAACCTTTTTTTATAAAGTACCCCTTTAAAAAAATTATAAGTACTCTCAATACCTACAGTTTTCAGACACAATTTCTTTTCTACCATTGCAACAATGTTCGTCTGAACAACTTAATCATAGCAGGGCGGGCGATGAAATTTTTGGGTATAAAAAGTACAAAAATAATATAGCGCTGTAAAACTTAAAACAAAAATTCAGTTTTCGCCAAATTTCAGTTTTGTTGACGTACCCCCCCAGATTTCTCGAGTACCCCTTCTCTCATCGGACACAACCCACGAAGCTCATGATACCATCTACCTGTATTTTTAGTCTTTAAGGTGCTGCTAGACTATTCGTTGTTTTTGAAGTTTTTCCAGTTACAGACTAACTCGGCTACCCTTCTGAAGCTCCTGAGGGGAAAGGCAGGCCCCAGGGGGAAAGGTCAGAGTGCACAGGTGGCGAGTTACCTGGTCCAGTGTGACTCGAAGAAGGCGGAATAGTACACGACAAAGGGCAGGAACACAGAGAAGGCCCAGAGCAGCAGCGTGGGGAAGAATTGGGTGAGGACAGGATTCTGGGGAGAGGAGAGACCGGAGACAAGCTTAGGACCCTGCTGGGCTGGTGGGAGGGCAGCTGGGATAGTCATTCCGCACTGGTGGGAAGGCGAGACTGAGGACAGAAGTCTTGACTGGGACAGAGCAAGCACCCAGGCCCCTAGCTACAGCTCACAGCTCACTGGAGAGGAAGGGGCTGGCTTCATGGCAGCTCTGGAGCAGCCCAGCACTTGTTACAGTCTGTAATGGTCCCCCCCACACTCACAAAGCTGCCTTGTCCCTTGGGGTCCCCACGCTCCCCAGGCAGTGATCCCATACCTTGGTAGTCACGCATACCAGACCTCATACAGAAAGCCAGAGCCCGAGGACACCTCCATCAGGGACATGTGGCTGCCAACCAGCTGGGTTCTCCCCTTCCCAAGATGACAGCCATTGCACTCATGGAGCAGGGAAGAGGCATGGCCCTCCTCTTCTCGGGGGGCAGAGAGACAGGGCACACCTCCTCTTCCTCAAACTAGCATGGAAATGGGTAATCCCCTAGGCAGGTCCCTGAGTCGGGGGAATCAGCTACCTTGAGGCTCTCCACCGGCTGTGTCACGTTGAACATGTCTATGGTGTTGACGACGATGGCAGGTGTGGTGAGGAAGAAGAGGAGGATGAAGAGGCAGAAATTGAGCAGGACAAATCGCACCCACCATGATGAGCCACGGACAGATAAATTCTCCCTGTGAGAGAACAGAGTATCCAGCAGGTGGAGCACAGGGAAAAGCAAGGCAGTGTGGTGACTGGGGTCTCCCCACTTCAGAAGCCTGATCCTCCAGCTCCCTCCCATCTGCCCCTTACCTTCCTCCCACACCACCCACATCCTTTCTGACTATTCCAGGACTTCTGCTTTTGGGTTTCTCATCCCACCCCATCTCAACACCACCAGCCCCTGCAATGACCCACCCGTAACAGGTACTGGGGGCATCCCCAGGGACCTGGAGAGCCAGCACAATGGGTTCTCTGTGTCCCCTGCAATGAGCTCTGGATTCACCAATGCCAGGGAAAGCCTGGGAGACACTGTTTTCCCCTCCTTTGCCTGGCCCAGCTGAGACTTGCAAACTCGCTGCACTGGTGTCACTGCTCAGACTCTGCAGAGGGAACTTCTCAGACAAAGATCAGAGAGAATTAAACCCTTGGAGCCACCTCATGCCTGGTGCCCTTCCATCGAGCTGTGCGGGGATTTACCAGATGATGTCACTGGGGGCGGGAGCATAGCGGACGCCCCAGCTGTGGGACTTTACCACCGTGGTCACAGAGGATTGCTGAGGGTGCCTGCGGCAGTGCATGCAGCTGTAATCCTTCAAAATCCTACAGGAGAGAGGAGGCAGAGGAGACCGTGACTCATGGGACAGATTCCTGCTCCCACATTTGGCTACTTCTACACTACGAGCCTCTTGCAGAAGAGTAAATGCAAATGGAGTGCTCATTTGCATTTCCTCTTCCTTTCCCTTTTGTGCAAGAGCCATTCTGCCTCAAAAAATGAGGTATACAGGATTTTGCGCAAAAGTTTTTTTTTGCATAAAATGGACCCATCTACACTGCTTGTTTTTGCGCAAAAATCTCTTCAGCAAAAGCATCAGCAGAGAATATGCAAATGACAGCGCAACAAATGCTAATGAGCGCTTCATTTGCATGGTCTCTGCTGACAAAAGGCTGCAGTGTAGACATAGCCTCAAAGGTCACCACCTCTGCTGATATGACAGGCAGAGTCAACCTGAGACAGAACAACCATTTGGGTTTAGCTGACTGAACATCAGCATCCATACAGAACTCCTGGATGGCTTCAAAGTGCCAGGGCCACTGACAGTCCCACCCCCGGATCTGGGATGGACAGGAACAGACTAACGATCCCTGGTCCCAAACCCAGCAGGGGAAAGAGCTAGAGAGGCCAAAGCTGCCCAGAGCTGTGTGCATTTCTGGTTAATTTCCCATGGGGAGGAGGAAATGTGTAGGGGAAAATTATTTTCAGCCTGCCCAAGGGGCCATTCCTAGCTAGCAGGGCCTCAGCCCAGCTCTCTCAGGGGCCAGCACTCACACTGCAGTCATCCTCTCGTCCTGGAAAGTGACGAAGGCCATGTCAAGCCGCTTGAGCGTGATGCGGTTGCGCTCAGCATTGAACTCATCGGTCAGTTTCTCCTCCAGCTCCCCGTAGTACTGCTCAGCATCCACCTGAAGGGGGAGAAGAAAGACCATGTTAAAACAGAGCTCTCTTCTCAGAGGGATGGGGACTGACATCCCAGCCAACCACCAGGGATGAAATCTGGGGGCTGCCACATCAACTCTTGGATTGCTTGCTGTGGGCCAGGGGCTGAGCAAGTGGCAAGAGGGGATAGGAGGAGCTGGTTTGGTTCATCAAAACTCCTCCTTCACCCATGCAAAGGAAATAAGGATTCCAAGAAGGACCTGGGGCCTGTGGTCCAAACTAGGGCAGGCGATGCATTACTTCAGCACCTAAGGAGGCACTGTTTGGGAACCATGCTGAAGAAGCTGAAACTACCACTACCACACGTATGTATAACTCCAGCATCACTGGGCTAAAGGCTATTGGGTGCTGGCATCTGGCCCCCACACTATCCACCCTCTCCCTAAAAAAACAGGGCAGAAACAAGGGACACTGAGCCATAAGGTCACTACATCCTCCTCCTTCAGATTGCTCCTCCGGACTCATGCCAGCCGTGGTGCCTATGCAACACCAGCTAGTGACTGATGCATAGAATGCTGGAGAGAACCTGCAGACATACCTATGGATTTTAAACCTTCCTCTCTCTGGTTGTGTCCCTCTCTCACCATGCAGAGGTATCCCCTGTCTTCTTAGGCCACTGTCCTGAATAGAGCTGCTCTGTGTGGGCAGGGTCTAGCCTGGTGCACATTGTGATCTGCCAGTGAGGAGTAACTTGTAGGATCTTTGCTAGTCAGGGCTTATATTTTTCTGTGGGCATGTTCAGCACCTAGTGCAAAGGGGCCTGGATAATGATTGTGCAGAAAGAGATATTAAGAAACAGTGTTCAACAGCTGACAAATGCTTACTCAGGATGCACAGCCACTGTGAGTCAGCAGTGGTGGGGACGTGCCCAGAGATGTGTGTGAGAATGAGAGGGACTCTGCATCATTTTAGGCTCCCCAGGCAGACACACAGCTTGCAAAAGCACAACCCTGTCAAGGAGACAGCTGTCTTGGGTTGGAACAACAGCTGCAAGCAGCCATTTGTGCCACTAGAGGGCAGTAGCGGGCAAGTGTTCCCTAAATACACCATTCAGGCTCCCATCAGTGTGGGTGCTGGGGTCTGGCTGCCCCTTAACCTCACTAATGCTCTGGGTTGTTTACTGATCTGTGGACAGCTGCTCTTGCGCTGAGGGTTCCTTGGCAATCTCAGCAGCGGTGAGGTGCTGGAGCCTCCTTTCTCCAGAGTGCATGGTGGGAAGGAGCCTGGGGAGCAGCACAGCTCAGACGCTGTCACAGGAGCACAGCAGCAGGAGGGACGGAAAATCAGGAGAGACTCTTCCCATCCGGTCGCTGTGGGCCAGTGTTACCTCTTCGAAGGCGCAGCCACGGCAGCAGAAGAGGCGGGCACAGGGGTGAGTTTTAATCATGATTTTCCCCTCTTTCTGTGCCTTGGTGGTAAAGTAAAGTCGTCCCTTCATCGCCTTGCGCCTGCCAAGAATGGGATCGGAGAGGACACTTCAGGAGGCTTCCCAGAAAAGGGAGCAGCTCCCCTAATTTGCTGGAAAGGAGCCTTTCTTCCATCTATACCCAGATGCTCCCCGTGTCCTCCATAGCATGCTCCACCCCAGCATGCCAGGCCATGAGTACCCCAGACATCGCATGGTGGACAGGGACAGAGGGGGGATGCCTGGTGGGCCCATGCTGCTAGGCATGCTCCTCCTGGCATGAGGGCTTGGTGAAATGCCAACACTAGGAGGGGCCAATGCTCACTGGCACTAGACCTCAGGGACCCCAGGCACAGCCTGCCAGACAGGTAAGGGCAACAGGAACCTCAAATAAAGAAGCCAAAGCTGTCCAGGGAGGCCTGTGCTATGTGACTTTTTTCCCACCAGCCCCGGGACTCCCGAGGCCATATGGACGGAGTGGGGGTGCTCTGTCCTTTTCCCGGCTGATGATGGCTGAGGAGACTCCTGCAGAGGCAGTGCGAATGCAGACTCTTGGAGCCCGTCAGTGGGTGATGTGCAGGCACAGCGAGAGAGCTCCATGCAGCTCCTAGGGAGGTCACAGCCACAGCACAGACTCACCTCTCTGCATCCAGCTTCATCAGCTTGCGAACGTCAAAGCAGAACTGGACACTGGTGACAGTACAACTGGGATAGGCCTCGCTGTGGGCACAGACAGACAGACATGAAACTTTCCCCTCCAGGAGGCTGAAGAAACTCTAAACAATCACTTTTCCCAGCCCCGCTGGCTCCTCTTCAGCTCCACAAGGGAGCTGGGATTTCTGAGGGGAACAGCCTTCTTGCCGCAGGCACTAACTAACTCCCTAGGAGATGAGTCTTTCCCTGGGCAATGATGGATGAGAAGAAGGGAGGATAGCTGTATTTTCTGTACCTGCCTTTGCCATGGCAGCCAGCAGGGAGCAGAATCACCTTCTCTATTACCAGAGACCTTTGGCTTCAAGCACCATCACCTATTTCTACACTGACGTTCCTCTAATGTTTCACTGCTCACCCAGGCCCTGGGTGTCCCAACCTGTCTCCTTCCCATTAATTGTCAAGAATCAGCAGAACCAGGGCAGGGAAGCTCACAGCGATAGGCACAGATCAAGCATCTGCCTGCCATTCTACTCACTGAAAATGCTTGATGACAAGGGAGGAGTCTGTGATCTCCTTGGGAATCCGGGTGACCAGCAGTGTCCGGGCAACCTGGGAGAGGAAAAGAGGAGCTGAGACAGAGGGATCGGAGAGCAGAACCAGGCTCGGTTTTGCATTCACAACATTGATGCTGTTGCAAAAAAAGCAAATATGATTCTAGGTTGTATCAACAGGTGTGTTGTAAGCAAAACTCGTGAAGTCATTCTGCCGCTCTACTCTGCACTAGTTAGGCCTCAGCTGGAGTACTGTGTCCAGTTCTGGGCGCCACATTTCAAGAAAGATGTGGAGAAATTGGAGAGGGTACAGAGAAGAGCGACAAGAATGATTAAAAGTCTAGAGAACATGACCTATGAAGCCAGGCTTCATGAACTGGGCTTGTTTAGTTTGGAAAAAAGAAGATTAAGGGGGGACATGATAGCGGTTTTCAAATATCTAAAAGGGTGTCACAAGGAGGAAGGAGAAAATTTGTTCCTCTTGGTTTCTGAGGACAGGACAAGGAGTAATGGGCTTAAAGTGCAGCAGGGGAGGTTTAGATGGGACATTAGGAAAAAATTCCTAACTGTCAGGGTGGTCAACTATTGGAATAAATTGCCAAGGGAGGTGGTGGAATCTCCCTCTCTGGAGATATTTAAGAACAGGTTAGATAGACATTTGTCAGGGATGGTGTAGACGGAGCTTGGTCCTGCCTTGAGGGCGAGGGGCTGGACTCGATGACCTCTCGAGGTCCCTTCCAGTCCTATGATTCTATGATTCTAACACTCCTGCCTCTGCAGCACCTCACATTCTCCCTGGAAGAAAGGTCAGTATCTTTTCTTCCATTGCACAGATGGAGAAAACTGATGCACAGAGAGGAGAAAAGACATGCACAAGAATTGGTGACAAAGCTGGGACAGAATCCAGAAGTCATGATTCCCCCATCCCCAGCCCTTGCTAGTTCACTACACTCCCTCCAAGAGGGGGGAAACAGAACAAATCCTGACTTCTAGTTCCAGGTCATAACTACTCAAGCACACACTCTCCCTTTACTGACTCCCCACTGTAACCACTAAACACGACCCGCTGTAACCACTAGACGTGACCACTTCTGATGCTCCATGGGGTAAGCTCAGCGCCTCAACAGCCACACAAACAAGTTTCAACTTGAAGGGGGCAGAAGTGGGGCACAAGCAGAGGATTTCTTTAATTTTAAGGCATATTTGGGAGAAATCCACCTTCTCCAGTAAACCCAACTCCAAGCCATCTGTAAAGATCTACTGTATTCTGTGGTTCCTGTAACAGCACAGATGGAAAAGGACAAGTGAAGTCGTGCAGGGCCCCCTTAGTTTGGGAGGGGCAGAACAAGATTGGGGGCATCTTACCTTCTCATCCTCTTTGTATTCGAGTTGAACAGAGTGATGAGCCATACAGAGGATGGTAATAATGAAATAGATGAGAGCGAAGATACTGTGCAGCCACAGGAGACGGTCTCTGTGCAAGAAAAAGGAACAGATCCACATCCTGACAAAGCAGCCTCCCATTAGAGATCAGTGAAACCCACAGCAGACCCGCCATCCTCTCCACTTAGAAGGCAAACTGAGGGCCCATCATGGTGCAAATCAAAATCGCATGGTGCAAATCTGTGCTCATAGCTACTGCAGTCCCAGCCTCTTCCAGCACAAGGTGCTCTAAGGAATGGGTGCAGGAGGGCAAGCCCAGGGAGTTCAGTCATTGCAGTCCTAGCCCCTTCCAATAGAGCAGCAGAGGGAATGCTGCAGGAGCACTAGTTGAGCTGCTGAAGGAATAAGGCAGGAAAATGTGTAAACTCAAGCTGCTCCAGACCAGCCTTTCCCGGCAGGAGGAGCTGTACTGAATGGTGTAGGAGTGCTGGCTGGGCAGTGTTAGCACCAACCTATGGCAGTTCCAGCAGGAGATGCATTTAGTGCACAGCCTAGGAATGCAGGCTCCCGTCTCTTCTTGCACAGCTGTCCATGTCTGGCCATCAACTGCTTGCACATCTGTGCAGTGCAGCAGACATGGGATCTTTATGAGTCACGTAAAAGTAAACCCCGTCCCTGGTCCCAGAGGCCAATCCCCACCCTGGTGATGATCTAAGCCTGTGCTCTGGTGGCCCACTCGCTCCTGGCAGCCACCCCACTCACAGCGGAGAGCCCAGTTGCAAGGTGTGAGGGGAACATACTGTGTTGGGACGTTGGCGATGGTCGTCCGGCCAAAATGAGCTGGACTGTTTCCTGGAAGAGAAGAGGTCAGGGAAGCATGGAGGTCATGGGAAAGTTGCGCATCTCAAGAGGTTCAGGCCCAGAACATAAACAGTTCCCCCATCCTGGGTATCCTCCTGGCTCCTTTCTCTCTACTGCTCCCCTAGGGTTTCTCCTGGCCTCCTCCTGCAAGCCCCAAAGCTTCTCTGATCTCCCCCATTTCTGATACCCCACAGCTGGCCACAACTCACACCCCATGGTACCAATCTCTCACGCATGACCCCCTGCATTGGACCAGTCTTTTGGGCACCACACCTATCCCAGGATTCCACATCCCCAGATAACTGACAGCATCATTCCCCAATCCTGCTTGATGCATGATGCCCATCCACGTGCGGTGGGAATCTGTGCCTTGCCACTGGGGTCACCCCTTAGGCTTGGAGAATGACCTACCCATGAGGTCCCCAGAGAAGTTGACAGGCAGGATGATGGCCACAGAGAGCACACAGACGATCATGACCAGCACCAGGATGTGGCGCTGGAAAGAGAGGTAGGTGGTAGCATCAATCCCACACTTGCTCTGAAGCTCCTCGTCCCTGTCCGAACAGAGGTGGACAGCGTATCAGTGCAGGCAATGTGACATCGCCCCTCCCCACTCAGCGGATGTGGCTCCCCACTCTTCAGTGGAAAGCCCCAGCTCCAAAGGCTGTAGGGCTCGAATTCATGCCATCCCTCTTGAGAGCACTCAAGGGATTCAGGAGGGGAGCACTCTGAGGCTCTCCCTGGAGGATGGAACCTGTGGAATGGGGCATCTATAGAGATGCAAACTAGTCCCCAAGGGAAGGGATAAGGGGAGTCTCCTTATTTGGGACATTTAATCCAAGCTTGGACAAAGCCCTGGAAGATACCCCGAAAGGAACAATTCTGCACCAGCTCCTGGAGACACCTAACCAGAGGTCTCCATCTCTAATTCCCACAGGGTAGCGCTGGATCCCTGGATGGCCACAAGGGGGCATGGTGATCTCCCTGCAGCTGGAGATTCCAGCCAGTCGGGAGTCTCCTTATTTGGGACATTTAATCCAAGCTTGGACAAAGCCCTGGAAGATACCCCGAAAGGAACAATTCTGCACCAGCTCCTGGAGACACCTAACCAGAGGTCTCCATCTCTAATTCCCACAGGGTAGCGCTGGATCCCTGGATGGCCACAAGGGGGCATGGTGATCTCCCTGCAGCTGGAGATTCCAGCCAGTCTCTCCATCTCTAATTCCCACAGGGTAGCGCTGGATCCCTGGATGGCCACAAGGGGGCATGGTGATCTCCCTGCAGCTGGAGATTCTAGCCAGTGAACCACTAAGTCTGGACACTTTCCTGAACTAGCCAATTCTACCAACTGGGAGGTGGAAATCCCCTGGGTCTGGCCTCTCTTGGGTTTTCCAGCCCTTTCTGATACCCACTGCCCCTGAGAACAGACTTTTTGCGTGATGCTACACTCTTCTGGACCTGGGCAGAACCAAGGGGCATCCACAACATAAAGGTGGGAGGGGAAGTCTGCCAAACTTTTCCTGAACTTCGGGTATGTTGTGGGCCTCCTGAATAACCCTTAGGGTGGGAAGGGGCACTCACCAGAACCAATGCAGAGGAAGGATGGGACAAGACAAAAGGGATAGCAGGGTGTATGAACAAAAAGCCCATTGCTCCCAAAGGAGATGCTTTCTGATCAAGGGATGCCAAGCAGATACAGTAGTACTGGGATACTCATTGATGATGAGTGACATCCACGTGGTATCTTGGGTACACAGAAAGGCAGAGAGAGGCCAGTTAGCTGCCATCCAATGTAGACAGGACAGGACACGTACTTACTTCATTTGATAGATGGAAATGAGCCAGGAGCAGAATCCCTGGAAAAGAGAATAAATAGGATCAGCTGGTTAAGAGCAAACCAAGGTACAAGAAATGGAGTTTGGTTGCAGAGTGCTTCACCCTGTGGGGAACTGGGCACCAGCCACATGGTGATTGTAGCCAAAGCGGGCAGCTGGGGGCTGGCCACATGGCAACTATTGCTAAACTAATGGAGGTGCTGCTCTGCACTCAGTGACTGGCTCTGACAGCACAACTAGTGTCAGTGAGGACAGAACCCTGGGGTGATCCTCTCTGGCTTTCTGAGAACACCATAGGACCTTTAGCTTCAAGGCTGCAGCCAGCAGAGGGAGGCTGAGGGACTGGAGAAAACATTGGAGGAAAGCAGGGAGGAACCAACAGCCAAATGCACCAGGCCATATTTCTTCGGAGGCAAGTCTATGGGCAGGAACCTGACCAGCACTGTCTAGACTAGAGATGGCTCAGGGGGATGCGATCACAGCCTACAGAAGCCATGAGAGTACAAGTGAATGAAGGGATTATTAACGCTTTCAGGAAATGGCAGGACAAGGAGGGATGGCCCTGACACGATGGAAGGAAAAGTCAAGGCTGGAAACTAGGGAATCTGTCTCCACAGCAAAAGCAGCCAGGGCAGAGGCTAGGAGGGGAAACCCCATCACTGCAGAGACCCGAGAGCAGGTTTGAGACATATGGTAGGTGAGGATGATAGGAGCTTGAATCCTGCAGAACCCATGCAACCTTCCTTGGCACTGGCTGGCATGGCAGAGCTGTGGGGCTCCTTGGAAGCACAGTTCCTTCAACAGCAGTCGCCTTCCCAACCCGGCACAAAGGCATTAGGTCTGGGGCAATTCTCCCCTTGCAGGATACAGGCCACTCCCGGAGGCTTTCATTTGACTTGACCCCATGGAGGAAAGTCCTTCATACCATGCACTCCTGAAATATACACGGTCCTCCACCCCAAATGACAAGTGAACAGGGTCAGCAGGGGAACTCAAAGACACAGGAGAACTCCCAGTAAGTAGCCAAGGCCTGGTGTGGAGAAGACGAGGTGACATCAAGAAGGTCACTGGAGCCATGGCCAGAACTACTTTAGGAGGCTGCCTTTTTGTTAGTCAGATCTTAATCCTTCTGTGTGACAAACATGCCTAGCGAGTGAGAGCAGGGCAATGGAGAGATGGAAAGAGGCTATGAGACAGAGAGACAGGCTGCATCTACCCTGGGAAATGTAGGTAAATCTTCCATGCAGGGAGTACTGATATAGACAGTACTCAAGAGTTTCTGCCACCATGTTGTCTAATCGTGCTGGGAATGGATCTACAAGACACAATTGCATAAACACCGGCACAATGTTTACTTTACCACTACCACTTCTAACACTAATAACAGAGCTACCTTAGTGCTGGGGCAATGGTGGTGGGAGAGATTTCCCAAACACTGACATTCACTAAAAGAGCATTTTAAAAAATGTTGCTTCCCAGGAAAACAAAGAGCAGCTCCTGGCTCCACCATTGGTTCATATTAAACAGGAAACTTCTAACTTGTGACTCAATCTAATTTTAAACCTGGGCTCCTCGTAGTAGAGAGAGCTCCTTTTCCTCAGTTTAGAGCTTATTTCCCTCCCACATCCCACTGAGACTCACCACATCTTTGTTATCGACATCCAGCGGGCTGGTCTCCGATGGCGATTTCTCCTTTTCACTCTGCTCCCCGTAGAACAGCGATGTCAAGCTTCCAGGCAGAGGGAAAAGGAGAGGGCAAGAAAGAAGGGACAGGACGGAGAGAAGGGGAGAGGGAATGAGGGGGAGGCACAAGAGAGGGGGCAAGAAGGATGGGGAAAAAACCACGATTATGATCAGAACTGAGTGACACTTTCCCCCCCAGCAATTGATCCCTTTCTGGGAAATCAGCCAAGACAGCACTTGTGCATTTCTAGCCCAGCAGCTGAGCAGGATTTCCAGGTCAATAGCTCCATGGGGTCAGCTCTGACATCAGACAGCTGGTTAAGAAGGTGATTCAGCAGGTGGCAAAAGGATTCTATACACGCAAGAACTGCATCCCAAGAGCTTGTCACCTCCAACAGCTCCCCCCAGGATAGAACAAGGAAGTGAAAGTGCCCAGGAGGAGTGAAATTCAGGGAGTAAAGCAAATAGGGCACCACTAAGGAAAAGTGACTTGGATTTTTACAGTTCTCTCAGCTTTAAACATACCATGTGACATTCTAGTACCATATTTTTAAAAACCATTCTGCTGTTTTAAATCTTGACTGCCCCTTTAATCTCTCCAACAAGTGAAAACATCACTGACACATTTCCAGATTTAGAACCAAAGCCAGTGCTTGAGAAAAATCAGATAATAATGAGGATCAGAAGAGGATTCCAGAAAGAATTCCCTAGAGCCAGCCCCATACCTCTCAGATGCCTCTTCAGACCACCCACCCTCCAAAAATAACAACCCCGGGAAAGAAAGAGGAACTGCTGCAGGGGTGGGGAGAAGGTTGGCTGTGCAGTGCTGTGGAACATCGCAGCTATGGGGAGGGTGCCTGATGTTTTGGTTTGCTTTCAGGCTGCAAATCAAAGCAGGGTTTGAACTTATAAATGTAGAACAACATCACTCAGAATCCAGTTTTCCCCACGTTCTTTTGATCAATGCCAAATATTGGACCTGATTTTTTAAAATTATGATTATCATATTTTTCTCCTGAGTCCTCCCCTAAGCCCCAGCTGGATTCTAACCCTCTGGAAATCTACAGGCCAGGAGAATGCCAGTGTCCTCCACACCCAGCTTGAGCAGAACACCAGGAGACCTCAGAGCCATAACAGAAACACAACAGCTAGTGAAAGGGCCTCCTGCCCCTCTGGTTGGCCTCAGCCTCTCTGGGAAAGCAGCTGCTGATTCTTTCTTTCCCAGAAAGGTATTTTTCCTGTCACCAAACCCACAACCACCGGATCACCATTCTCATTACTTGTAGGAGTTCCATGTGCTTGGAGGGATTCGGCTGGTTCAGAAGCAGAGGGGGAAAAGACAGTTAGATGCATCAGTAACCATCTAGGAGACTACTTCATTCACTGCTTATCCTCCCTGTTACCTCATTGACAATGTTTCCTCTGAATGGTACCTCCCCAGGTAACTATCACCTGCCAGCCTGGTGCCCATTGCACTTGCACGTCCCCAAAATGCTGATCCCCACTCAGCTCTGTTTCTAAACGACCTTCCCCACCCCCGCACTTCTCCATCCTCTCACTCTGAGCAACTCGTCTCCCAAACCCACACCCCTTCTGCCCTCTCTGGCCATATCATAGCACACAGATTAAATGCAGATGCATGCTCTGTGTCCCTCTGGCCCTTGCACCTTCTTTGCCAGCAGGCCAGAGCATTAAGCCACCTGCCAGCATGTAGCTAGTTCCACAACCTCTAGGACCCTTGTGCTGACGACAGTCTCCAGTCAAATGGCCTGACCCTTCTTCCATTTCTATCAGTAGCTGTTTTGCCACAGATTCAGTGCAGCAGGCATAGGATCGGGGGGCAGGACTTTTAGCCAAGGGAAGAGAGGGAGGTGGAGGATGGGGTCTGGTATCATTAGTGGCTGGCGTGTTAGCGCAGTAAACAAAGGCAGGAACATGTTCCTTAGCTTTGAACCTACAAGTGAAAGCCAAAGCTGCCCTGGTGCTGACTCTAATGCACCCACTAATGTCCCTCTAGAGAACCTGGCCCTGCCAGCACACGGCCACTTCCACTGCTACACAACTGAATTTGCCTTCAAGCCACCTGCAGTGTGGGGACAGGAGAGTGCTCCAGAGCTTTCCAGCAGCAGCAGCAGCCTCCCGCCAACTTCCCCGCATCTGAAACGGGTCCACAGCACAATGGGCATTAACTGGTCCCCATCTTGAAAGGCTCAGCGGAGAGGCTGAAAGGGCTATGGAGGCTGAACGGTCCTCCTGCCCCAGCCAGTGGGCCTCTGGGACAGGGACGAGAGAGCCTGTGAGAGAAGCTTGCCCTGTTGCCACCTCTGCTGTGCCATTCTGGCACCATCCAGCAGCCCTGTCATTGACTCTGCTGGGCTTTTTTGGGAACAAGGGCAGGGAAGAGACACCCTCTGTCTCCTTTCCTGGCTGTCACAGACCTTAGGGAGAGGTGACCAGCCCCTAGGAAGGGAGCTCAGTCCTTACCTGTCATTATCCATCAGCAGGGCCAGGCGTCCATAATCCCAAGCTGCTTTCCGAAGGCAGGAGAAGACCAGGAGGAGGAGCTGCAACAGGGGAAAGCAAGGGGTTTACGCACTCACCACCTGATCTCTAGAGGCTCCTCCGTTCGGAAGCGCTGCCATAGGCGTCTGGTATGTTAGGCGGGGGAAGGCCTTCCCAAACTGCCAGGCATGGCTATGCCCACACTCCGCCCCCAAAACACCTGCAGTGGCATTACTGAGGTGGAGTGCTGCTGCCACCAGCGCCCGCCCTCCCCGTGCTCCTGGCCGAGAAGGCTGGAACCATGCGACCTCCTCCCCTCCCCTGGTGCTTGGGGAGCAGCCCCCTCCCCTCTCTTCACCTCCCCGGTACTTCGGGGAAGCTGGGAGCGCTCAGCATGTTGCCTTGTCTCTCTTCCCCTCCCGGTGCTCCAAGGAGGCTGGGGAGCACTTGGCACACTGCCCTACATCCTCCCCTCCTCATAGGGGGCGGGGCCTCAGCAAAGGGGGCAGGGCTGTAGGTGGTGCTGGGAGCCTGCCTCCCTCAGCCCCAGATGCACCAAACACCCATGGGGGCTGCCCTCCCTAAGGGGGCCCAGTCATGACAGCAGAACCAGTCAAATCTCCTCTCAAAGCCAAATTGAGGCCCAGCACTAGTGACTGCCCTGCAGCTGGTAGGGCAACAGGCTCCAGGTGATTGCACTTCTTCACCCCATCAGCAACCCCCAGAGCTCAGGGACTACACACCCATATGCATCCATGCTAGGGTGAACACACACACACACACACACACACAAAGGCAAAATCACATACACAGAGGCAGAACAAGAATCATACACAAAGAAACTACTTCCCAGGCTGTGGTCAGTGCTATGACTAGTGTAGTCACACAGGACAACCCAGTCACACCTTCCCAGGCCCAGTTGTACTGTATACCCACCATGGCACAACACTGGCACACACTCAGATGCCTACAGGCAGAATCGGATACCTGCTGTAGGCTCACAGATTTCACATGCATGGCCATGATTATGACAACAGTCTCTCCTTGGGAATTCCACCTCCACACACGGCCTCATCTGCCCCAGGAAGGTCAGGGCCCAGTTCACCACCTGATTGACAACAGTCTCTCCTCGGGAATTCCACCTCCATACACGGCCTCATCTGCCCCAGGAGGGTCAGGGCCCAGTTCACCACCTGAGCAGCCCCATTAGTGAGAGCTGCAGTGGAGACAGAGGGCTCAGGCACTCAGACCACTGTGTCATTGCTGAATAGGCGATATGATGTCGCACACTTCAGAGTCTTTTGTGTGGTTCTATTCATGCTGAGTGACTCCTACCCCAGAGGCCCACCTTCTGCCTTCCCCAGCAGGTGTCCACTTGAAGCACTGTCCAGAAACTGGGCAGACACTGGGGGCTGGGACAGGAGGAAGGACACCCAGGCACAGCCCCCTCTTCGCCTCACTCACCAGCCAGAGGATGAAGTTGATGACAAGCACAGTGGGCACACCACCAAATGGCAGCCCTTGCAGGACCGTGCTGTGGGAGTGGGCACTGAAGCATTGCTCCTCTGTGCTGTTTGCCAGGGGGTCTAGGAAGCTGAGGACATCCTGGGACGTGGGGCTGGCACCCTCAGGGGCGAGCTCGGGCAAGTTCAGGTTGTCCATCTGTGCCTCCACGCAGATCCTGCAAAACACCTGGGTAGAGTCCCTCAGGGCAGGATGGAGCTGAGGAGTGGGAGAGCATTAGCTGAGCAGGAATTCATACTACACCAGTCCTGGCCTTCTCTGGCACAGCTAGTAGAGCCCCAGCCTCTTAGCACGAGGCAACACAGAGATGTGTAGGGCTGGGAGCTCGTAGCTAGCGCAGTCCCAGGCTTGTCCAGCAGCAGGCACTGTTGGGATCAGCACAGGAACATGGGACGGGAGAGTCCCCAGTGACTCAATCCCCAGCATCTCTCAGCAGGACGTGCTGTATGAAATGGGACAGGGTGCTGGTGGGGAGCTGCACGCAGCATCTCCAGTCTTGGCCTCTCACCCGCAGGAAAGGGCCATGGGAAATGGGAAAGGGGTGCTGGCTGTGGGGAAGCTCCCATTTGCTCCACGCTGTCCCAAGGCTACGCTCCATAAGCTTGCACATGATTTGTTGTCATTTGGCTTTTCAGATGCCGTCTCATTTTCACTCATACCTGACCAAGGGCGCTCACTGCCTTCTTTCAGTCCTGGCAGCTGGAACCAGTCACTGCCATCACGGTACAGCCAGTGTGCAGGAGCAGGGCACTGAACCATTCGTCTGAGCTGCTATAAATAAGAGAGACACTCATACTAAGAGAAGGGCTGACTGCTCACCTAGTTCCCACAGCACCTTAGTTTCAGCTTTTCACCTGCAATAACCTTATTTTATTCCCCCTAACTATATATGCTTGAGCAATCCCCTGCTCTCCTTGGGGCTTCCATCCTTCAAACACCTGTGACCCGCTATGCACCCTCTGGTCATTGCTTAGCAGAGCCAAACGTACCAAATTCTTGTAATCTTTCCTCATAAACCAGCTCCTCCATCACTTTGTTGCTCTCCTCTGACATCCTCCCAACTTGCTCACATGTTTCTGGTCCGGAGGTGTCATAGCAGCCATAGAGACAGAGTTCATTGCCGCCCTGCTCTTTGAGATGCTTTCAGAAATGGGGCAAAGGGCTTGCTCACAGCTATTCCAATCCTGGCCTTGCCTGGCAAGCCCAGAGCTGTTGCTCAAGTAGTCTCATCATCTCTGTCAGCACCTGTCTGCTCTGACGAGTTACAATTGAATGACATGTCACCAACCACAACTAACAGGTCAGAGTGGAGCAGGATTGGCTGTTGCTGGCATTGTGTGAGCTACCTCTGCTCCTCACATTAGAGCTTAAACACAAGAAGGCTTCCTGCTGCCGACAGGCTTCGACAAGGGCCCTCCAGAAGTTGGATCAGCTGGACGTCATCACATCAGACTTATCCAGCAGTTGAGCTATTTTAGTATTTTGGTTCCATCCATTTTCCCTGGTAACCCAGGGAAGGCCTCCTGATCTGAGATTTCCAGCAAATCTCCAAAGCGGCTTTTCTGGAAAACAGGCACCATGTTAGCAGCTCCCTGCAGGCACTGGTTCTCTGCCCGTTTCCTCTGGTTCTGTCAGTCTCGCTGTGATTTCACACTCTTTTCTTCTGAGCCATCAGCCAATCCCATCTGGTCCTAGTAATCTACTACATATAATTATCCCAAGTTGCTCTACAACAGTGGCTCTCAACCTTCCCAGACTGTTGTTCCCCTTTCAGCAGTCTGAGTTGTCTTGTGTACCCCCAAGTTTCACCTCACTTAAAAACGACTTGCTTACAAAAACAGACCTAACCTACAACAGTGTCCCAGCACACTGATACTGAAAAATCACTGACTTTCTCATGTTTAGCATATAATTACAAAAATAAATCAACTGGAACATAAATATTGCACTGACATTTCAGTGTGTATTATATAGAGCTGGTTACAGAGCTGTCTCATCCATAGGACACATTGAGGTGGCCATCCCAGGCCCTGTGCTTTTGGGGGCCCCATAGCAGCCACCCCAACCATCCTATGGAGGGGAGGGACCTAAAGGATTAGGGGGGCCTGGCTCGGGGTGGCAGCAGGGATTGCTTCCCCGCCCCTGCTCTCACCATGCCAGTGGTGGGACCTGGAGCGGCCTGCTCTGCCTTGCCATGCTGCCCTCCTGGCCCACTGTGCTCAGCTTTTCCATGGCGACAGGAAGCAGAATGCCCCAGCCCCAAGGCGCTCTGCTTCCTGTTGCCGGGGAGATACAGGGGGCTGGGAGAGGGCAGTGGGTCACCGCAGAGCAGAGCAGACTGCTGGGCCACTCTGGCTCCCTCCGCCAGTGTGAAGAGTATGGGAGGAATAACCTCTACTGCTGCTGTGCCAAGATCCCTGCACATGACCTATGAGGAGAGACTGAGGGATTTGGGTTTGTTTAGTCCGCAGAAGCGAAGAGTGAGGGGGGATTTGATAGCAGCTTTCAACTTCCTGAAGGGAGGTTCCAAACAGGATGGAGAAAGGCTGTAGTGAGTCTCCCAGGTCTGAACCTGTTGCAAATATTGTGGCCAATGCTTATAAGCTGTTTTGTTGCTGGGATAGGGAATACTGGTGTGTATATACATGCTGACAGTTGTATTTTGGTTGTAACAATCACCAAGTAGCTGTTGGACTTTAAATGAAGCGGCGATTATTTAAATCGCCGCTTCATTTTACTATGCCTGGTAGCCTAATCTACATGCCTCTGGTAACAGAGGCATGTAGTCTAGACGTACCCTGAGTCATGGTAAAACTTAAACTTATTAGGAAAAGAAATTTGGCTCAGTGTGGCGCCTTTCAGGGGGAAGGGATGGGAGGAAATCTAGGCGGTACACTGCTACCGTCAAAAGAGAGATGAGGAAACACAGGTGAGAGGCTTGTGTAGGTCAGTCTTTACTCCTGTCCCAAGCCAGAGGATAGGAGAATCTCTCAGTCATAACATCATGTGTTTCTAAAACCGCTTTCATCCTGAAAGATCCCAGACTGCTCTTTCTCGACAGAGATTGCTCATTCATCCCTGAAATGCATCCATGTCTGAGGTGTAACATTTAACAGTACACAGAAACACCACACAGCAATATGTGGACGAACTACCCTGCATGCTAGGGGACCTCAAATGTTTTCATAGCAAGGGCCACATTTTCACTGACAGACTCTCATGCACCGTCACCTGGCCTGCCTCCAGACTCACCAGGGATCAACTAACAGCTCTGAGGCAACTACAGCCATGGCTTTTGTAGGAAAGCTACATTAGGAAAGCTGTCACTAACTGTATTATTCATCCTGGTGTCAGCTAGAAATGAGGAACAGCAGCCAGCATCAGACTGAGAACCACTGTTGTCAGCTGCTCAAACAGCTGCATGCAATCGGGGAGGCAGAACAGAATGACCCAAACTGGGATTTGGCCAGGGTTCTGTGACGGAAATTCCAAGTTCACTAAGTGCCACAAGATCTTTAGTGAGCATTGACAGCCAAGGCTGCAGCTTCAATCTGCTACAGATGATAGCACCTCCACTGGCACAGCGCCATGCTGCACAGAAGTAGCCTAGGGAGGCAGCAGAGGCGTGGTTAAAGCTGCTTCATGTACCACACTGCAACACCATTCACGCTGATTTTGCCAGGTGGCCTCACCCCAACCCTCATCATAATAGAAGGGCCACTGGGCCAAATCTGAGTGAATCGTGCTGTGACCTGGTACTTGGTCCCCCACATTCTCACTGACCACCCCCCCCAACAAAAAGTCTAACTTGCCTCCTGTCTCCAGTTGAGAACTTTGGTTCCCGAGGCTAGGAGGATGCAACACACTGAAGTTTTGCCTACACCAGCAGATTGGCTTGAGCGGCCTTTGGCAGTGCCACATAACTAATCAAACCAGGAGATACTGGCTTTTCTGTGTAATACAGGAGTGGTAGCAGAGGGAACCAGGAGTCCACAGTCAGCAACAGGGCAAATAATAAAACATAATGGATGGCAATAGAAGAGCCAGTATCCCATCGGGAATCTGCTGCTCCAGAAATCAAGCACAGCAAAACCTATATGTACGGCCTCCGGCTTTCCCTGACCACCTGTGCTATTGGCTGACAAAAATCTCAGGCCCTTTGAGATTTGCAAGCTCTTCTGCATTAATGCACTCTGCAGCTGTGCCATGCACAACTGTGACCAGCCTGCCCTATCCCATCCAGCTGTGCATGTTAGAATCAACCTGCTCAAGTGGCTGGGGGGGGGGGGGGTGCTTCAAGATCAGGGGTAGCTTTTCTACATATGACAAATGTTAGTTATAACTCTTTTAACTTGTTTCACAAGCGAGGGGACTATGGGATGGGTCTGCTAAGAGATCCCCAAAAGGCTCTGGGGTACAGTGCTTAGTGAGAGGGCTGGGGAAGTTAGTGGTAAGCTAGGGGTCCCAATCAGAGGAACTCAGAGATATGTGTGAGTAAGCTCCCAGTGAGAGTTGTCTGATTGGCCCGGTTTTGTCATGCTGTGCTAAGTGGGCATCTATCAACATGGATTCCCCCTGGAATCATAGGAGTGTAGACCTGGATGGGAACTCAGTAGGACACCTAGTCCAGTCCACTGCTCTGAGGCAGGACTAAGTAATATTTAGACCATCCTTGACAGGTGTTTATCTAACCTGTTTTTAAAAACCTCAAATGTAGGGAGAGGATTCCACAAATCTCCCTAGTTAATATATTCCAATGCATTAGGAAGTTTTTCCTCATGTTTAATCTAAATCTCTCTTGTTGCAATTTATCCTCATTACATCTTGCTCCATCCTCAGTGGATGAGAACAATTTATCACCCTCCTTTTTAAAACAACCACAATCATATCCCTCCTTAGTCTTCACTTCTCCAAACTTAGACAGACCCATTTTTTTCAATCTTGTCTCAAAGGTCATGTTTTCTAGACCTTTAATCATTCTGGTTGCTCTCTTCTGGACTTTTCTCCAGTTTGTCCTTACCGCTGCTGAAGTATAGTGCCCACAACTGGGCACAGTGCTCCAATTAAAGCCTTATCACTGGTGAGCAACGTGGAAGAATTACTTTTCACATCTGCTAATACTTCCCAGAATATTTGCTTTTTTCTGCAACAGTGTTACACTGTTGACTCATATTTAGCTTGTGATCTACAATAACCCATAGATCCTTTTCTGCAGTACTCCTTCCTAAGCAGTCATTTCACATTTTGAATATGTGCAATTGATTATTCCTTCTTAAGTCTAGTACATTACAGTTGTCCTTACTGAATTTCATCCTATTTATTTCAGACCAGTTCTCCACTTTGTCAAGATCATTCTGAATTCTAACCCTATCCTTCAAAGCACTTGCCACCTCTCCCAGCATGGTACCATCTGTAAACTTTATCAGTGTGCTCTCTATGCCATTATCCTAATCATTTATGAAGATACTGAATAGAACTGGACCCCAGAAAGATCCCAGAAGGATCCTACTCAATTTGCCCTGTAAGTTTGACTAGGAATCACTGAGAACTAATCCCTGAATATGATTTTCGAACCATTTGTGCATCTGCCTCATAATAGGCCCCTCTAGATTATATTTCCCTAGTTTGCGTATCAGAAACATAAGGGCTCTGAGCAGATGTCTGTGTTGCTATTCTGGCATTTCCCTCCTGGCTTGAGAGTCATAAGAAGAGTGACACCGCATCACTTTCTCAACAGCAACAGTGTCTTGGGCTCAAGTGCCAGAAACACA